ACCACTAATATTTACAATTTCAGCAGCAAGATTATTTGAGATATTCTTTGAGAAAAAAATATTAGATTTCATGAAGCTAACTCTTTGACAAGAAATATTACCAAACACAGCTAGGCAGTCCATAATAATATTGATTTGATCTACACCTGCTTCAGCAAAAAGCATAAGATCGTCAGCAAATAATAGATGGAAAATCTTTGGACCTTTTTTACCTGCTGCCATAGGAATCCAAGCCTTTTTATCCACTGCATCAGCTATAATGTGTGATAATTTTTCCATGCATAAGACAAAAATATAAGGGGAAATAGGATCCCCTTGCCGAAGACCCCTACTAGGAGTAATCGAGCCCGCTTTAGCACCATTCCAGAGAACATCTAGCTCGGTTGAAGATATGCACTGCATGATTAAATTAATCAGATGAATAGGAAGTTTAATTTCCAACAGCACTTGATGAATAAAGCTCCACGCTATACGGTCGTAAGCTTTTTCCAAAGCAATTTTGATTGCAAGAAAACCCTTATCACCTTTCATTCTATTCATTGAATGAACCATCTCTTGAGCTATCACAATATTATCCTGGATGTTTCCTTTAGGAACAAAGCTGACTTGATGAGGAGAAATGAGTTTTTGGAGGAGAGGTTTGAGCTTACTGACAATTAGTTTACTGATTCCCTTATATAACACAGAGCATAGAGCTATTGGCCTGAGTTGAGCTATTCTCTCTGGTTTGTTGATCTTCGAAATCAGCACCAAAAAAGTCTTGTTTATCTCCTTCAAACCATCTGGACTAGACCAAAACCTCTTCACTAAGCCATAAGTCTGGTTAGCCACAATATCCCAATTCTTCTGAAAAAATAAGGACGGGAACCCATCAGGTCCAGGGGCCTTTAAAGCTCCCATATCAAAATATGCAGCCTTAATATCCCTGTTGCAGATTTTTCTGTTCAGAACTAGGAAATCAGATACACTGATATCATGCCAGGAATTATTAGTAATATGCCAAGGTCTATCTGGGACATCTTTAGTGAATAGAGTGGAATAAAAATTCAGAATTAACCTCATCAAGTTATTTTCCTCTCTAATGATATGCCCCTCATCATTTTTTAGTTCCACAATTTTGTTTCTGGCCCTTCTAATTATAGTAGAAGTATGGTAGAATTTAGTATTGTGGTCCCCATCTTCAATCCATTTACATCTAACTTTTTGAAACCAAAGAGCCTCTTCTTGTTCAAGAACCCTATTGATCTCTAAATGGATGCTCCTTTCCAGCTCATGAAGAGATTCATCAGTGGACTGACTTTGACTAAATTGGACCTGCTGCAGCTTATTAATCAAGAATTCTTTTCTCCCATGAATATTGCCAAAAACCTGTTTATTCCATCTTTTAATGGGCTCAACAAGTTTGGTCAGACAAGAGTTAACCTGAGAATGGGGGAACCAAGTATTAAGCAGGAAAAAGGGAAATCCACGTGCTCCTGCCATGCAGCCAGAAACCTGAAAGGCCTCTCCCTCCAAGACTTATCTTGCGGCTTTAAGGCTAAAATGAGAGGGTTGTGGTCAGAATTTAGCCTAGGAAGAGCTTTAACAGAGGCTTCATCAAAAGTTGTTCTCCATTCAGCATTGGCACAGACACGATCAAGTCTTTTAAAAACTCTATCCAAGTGCAGCCATTTCGAACCTCTCCAAGTAAAGTTAGAGCCCAAACACCCCAAATCCAGCACATTACAATCATTCAAAATGTTAGCAAACTTGTTAGACCTAGCCAAGTTCACAGGAGCTCCCATTTTTTTTCTCTTTTAAAGAAGCAATCTCATTAAAATCCCCCATCATGACCCAGGGACCAATAATATTCCTTCCTATTCTTACCATATCCATCCAGAGGGTTTCACGAACCTCCTCTTTAGGATTAGCATAAAGAATCGAAAGATAAAAGACTTCACCAGTAGTACAAGCAACAGAGCAATGGATCATTTATTACTTTTTCCTAGAAGATTGATAGAGCACCAACACTTTTCCAAAGAATCCAAATCCCTCATGCAAAATCCACTGCATTTTCTATCAAGTAATTCTTAAAACCAAGCTGTTTTATTTTTTTCAGGGCTGCCACACAACTTATTCTGGGTTCTAAAATTGCAACTAACCCAACTTTATACCTCTTGATGAAATTACACAGGGTGGTTTTAAAGGCTTTTTTAGCCGCACCCCTACAATTCCATACTAGGCAGTTCATTGGACAAGATTTGGAGTTCCAGGATTGCTAAGTTCTTGGTGACTTTCATCCATCTTCTCAGGGACATACCCACTGTTGTGTTCCCCCATAATCACAATTTCCTTCGGACAACAAGCTTCTGCACTATTTTCCATAGCTTCGTCAGGTGGATCAGTTTTGTATTCAACCTCCATCTGTTGAAATCTACTGGTTTTGGAGACTTCAGAGAAAGAAATCCCCTTCCTAGCTTCCTCTTGGATCGGCATGGGCTCAACAGAAGAGGTAGCATTCTTGGACTTAGCCAGAGTCAGGGGTTTTTTCCTATTATCCACATTCTGAGGAGCATTAGACTTCGAACAAACAAGCTTGTTCTCATTAGCAACATCTGCTGTAAAGATGAAAGTAGAAGTGGAAGTAGGATCCACCTTACTCATAGACTGACCGTTTTAACCCTTTTGACCTTTCTTCTTTCTGCACTATTTTTTAAAATTATATGAAACAGTTTGAAATTTAATTAAATTATAAAAATGTACAAAGTAAATTATCTAGTAATAAAACCTAGAATACAAATGTTGACAGTTTATTATTTGTTATTTTATTTAACTGAAAAGAGAAAATTTTAAAAGAATAGAAAAATGGAGGCTCTGAATGCTCTCATATTTAATTTTAACATGACTTAATCATTATCAACAATTAATTTGAATATTTATTCCTTTTGGTTTTCTAAATTTTATCATTAAAATTGTGGGCCAAATGTTATTGAATGATTCATATTCATCACATAATATGATCATGTTAAAATTAGATATGCGAGAATACATCAATAAAGGAAGCGGTACTACATGACTAACTATAAATTAAAATTAAATTACAAATTAATGACTTTATGAAAAAAAACTACAAATTAATTTAGGAACATGATCATTTTACATTGGGTGTGTAATAACGGTTCATTGTTTCTGTTTTTTTTTTTTAACAAAAAATTTTCTCCACCGCACTCAATTAAAAGTGAGTGCCACTAATTTCTTCTTTCTTTTCTTTTTATAATATGACTCACTTATTTATTTATTTATTTTTGTATGCATATGACTCACTTATTTTTATGTGAGTATTTTGCATCAAAATCAAAAATATTTTTCTCATATAATAAAGAGTTTTATTTTTCTTATGTTATTGGAGATAAGTATCTCCTATCATAGATACATGATATGGTGGGGTCACCATCCATTAAAAAAAGAAAAAAGTGATGACACAATTTTTTATGTGAGAGTAACATAAAATAGTTATTTTATGTAAAATAAGACAATAATTTCCTTATAATAAATTATTTTTACTTATTAGTAAAAACTTTTGTATTATTTTATATTCATGTAGTGCCACATCATGAGTATTTATTTGCTTATTTAGATTAAAAAAATGAAAAATTTAATTATGGGTTCGCTTTTTCCACAGTCAACGTAGATATTATCTACAGTGAGTCCAAAACGACGTTGTTTTGAGGCAGAAATCATGATATTTTTGTAATTATAATTTATTTCAGGGTTATAATAGTCTTTTTTATTATAACTTTTTAATTTTTCAACTCAAAACGACGTCATTTTGGGAGCAAATATAGATAACTTATCTACCTTCACTTTACAAACATTAAACCATTAATTATATATATATATATATATTTTTGATAACATTAACCATTAATTATATTTTAGTTTAACCGAGTTGCTTAAGAATTTTGAGGAATAGATTACTCTAATTAACTTAACACGGATTAAAATTGAAGTCCAATCTTGTTGTCCTGGTCCTAGGGGTGTAAATGGGCCAGGCTGGCCCAGCCCAGCCTACGGCCCGGCCTACATTGAGCCCAGCCCAGGCCCAGCCTTTCAGAAAAGTAGAGTAGGCTTAGGCTTATAAAAAAGCTTTTTTAATAAATAGGCCATAGGCCAATTTTGTCAAGCCCGGCCTACAGCCTTGTAGGCTGGCCTATTTAATTTATTAAAATAATAAAATAAAATAATATTTATTTTATGTGGCAAAGACACAAAGTATCAAATACCAATATCTCTTACTTTTTGTGCTATTTTATTTTATGAAAGGAAAACTTGTCTAATGTCTCCAAATTTTACATGTTGTTACAGCTTAATACCATGGAGCAATTGGTACCTTGCTGAATTATGATGTTACTGATGAAGATCTTTCAATAATACTCTTCTTTCCCTTGTCTTGATGGTGGTTTAAAGATTTTTAGGAATGACATTCTCTTGTAGACTTTATTTCAGCATCCAGTAATTGTATTTTTCTTATTTTTCCCATTTCTTTGACTCTATTCCTCTATTATATACATTCTAGAGCTGAGGTATTATGTTGACTCTTTCTTGTTTGTCATTTTTTCTTATGAGAAGTACTAGTGCATGCATGAATGGAACTTTCTTTGCTCTATACAATTATTTTTTTTGCTTAGTATATATAGTGGGAGGCCTACAAGGCCTGTAGGCCATGTCAGGCTTTCTTATTTTTGAAAATGGACCGGGCTTGACCTACAAATAAAGCCTTTAATAGGCCAGTAGGCCAGATAGGCTGAATTTTTTTTTACGTAGGCTTGGGCCAGGATGGCCAAAGCCCAGCCCAGCCCAGCCCATTTACACCCCTACCTGGTCCCGTTAACTCCGAACAACTTCTGGCTTGGCACGTGTTAATGCCCAACCTAGGAACTAAGAGGAAATTCAGACAAAAACAAATCAGCACCAAATATTTTGATTCTTCGAAGTAAAACGTTCCTTCGTTTTGCTTTGAACATTCGCATAGGACCCAGAGAAGCTCGAGCTCCAAGCACTACCCACAGAAACCCAGAAACCCCAATTCAGATTCTGAACGAAGAACATTCTAGAATTCTTGAGAACCTGAGAGGGTGGAGCTCCTCCTTTTGGAAGCTGAACCAGAGCTAGGGTTTCGATTTGATTGACCAAGGTAAACCCCCCTTTATTTCTCTCTTTTGCTTCCTTTAATTTCATTCTCACTTTATTTCTTGCACTTTCTTTTCATTCCTCTTTTGGGGATTTACGTTTTTCATAACGTATCTCAGCGTTTTCATTGTAGTAAGTTGCGTATTAACTTCATTCCCCTTTATATTTTGATTCGCCTGTAAAATTTTTATTTTTTTAGGGGTTTTCCATAAACGTCGAATTTTAGGGTTTTGCAATAGCTGCGCCTTTTCTTTTTCTTTTTTTGAGAATTTGTATGCTGCTCTTGGTTGAAAATTAAGGATTCTTTTTCGATTTCTTTTTAATTCTCTTTTTAATTTTTTTTGGGTAAGATCATATGCCCGGTGGTTCCAGACAGGATTTGTTCTTCATCATTATTTCTTTATTTAATTAATTTAATTGCAATTTCTGTGCGGGATTGTGATTTTAGTTCTGAATTGGCTGTTGCTATGGTAAAGTAATATTGATTCAGTGATCGTGATTAGAAAGTTACGTTTTACTATTTTCTTATTTTTAGGTGTGACTTTGTACCAGCCCTTGAAGTGACTGGTAATCTTATTGTTGATATATTCAGGTTTAGTTATTTTATCACACATCAGGATAGGACTTGATTTATCCAATGTCGTTTAATGTAGGTAGTAAGTCTGTAAGTGATAGCTCATAGGTTTGCTCAATTTGTTTTAAATATTTCTCTAAGTTTCTCCTCCTCCGTCAACCAATTCCGAAAAATATTCTAGAATGTGTAGTTCTGGTCTGTATCACGTAATCTCTTTTCTTTCTTTTTTTAGTGTGGAATTTTTAAAATTAAAGGGGGAATAGAATACATTAAGTGAGCAAAATAATTATTATTTTTTTCAGATTCAAATATACCACATGTGTGGTCATGAATATCTTCCCTTTAGTTAATTTTATTCTATTATTATTGTTTGCCTTGAGAGTTCAAATCAATGTTGAAATATAAAACGGACTATATTGTCTTTGTTTGCAGAATTTTTTGAATGGTTTACACTTACTAATCAAGTTAGGTGACTAGTATTATTATTGTGAATGTGTGATTTCTCTTGGAAAAGAAAGGATATATATTTACTGAATGGAGATTATGTACTCGGTCTTACATGTTACGTGGACAGAACTAGTCTCTAAGGCCTTCCAAATGCATGTTGAGTACTTCCAAACTTATTGATGCAAACTGTTTACAAAATAATAAAATGGAAATTAAAATAAAAATAAAAAAACACAAAGAACCTTGGGGCGGGATCAGAATTCTACATTAAATTGAAATAAATGTGAAACAAAGATGTTTCCATATTGGACATTATATCTGCCGGAGAGATTTTGTGAAATACGTATATGTAATGTAAGAGTGATGACTCGGGGGTTGAACAAAATTGGAGCGCTAGGTAGCTGTACTTGCATAATGGCATATTTGTTGTTTATGTACTTGCATAAATAGTCTTGAAGTTGATGAAGTCTATTAATTTAGAAAGCAATAAGTATGGGTTTGAAATGACCTTATTTGTGTAATGAAGTTATCTCATATAAAGAACCTTGGGATACACCACCCCAAAAGCTAGCTCAAAGGGTGGGAGTGCCCAAGGTCTTATAAAGGCCACATTAGTTGGCACATACAACCAATGTGGGACTATAGATATCAACATGTCCCCTCACACAAGAGCTCATTGGGCTTGAAGAGTGGACAATGCAACAGACCCAGCTTACCTGTGCTAAGAAACGCCACAAGAGAAAGTGGGGGGCGGCGAGGCTCTGATACTATGTAAAGAACCAATTCAACCCAAAAGCTTAAGCTGTTGGGTGAGGCTACATTAATTGTTTTATATATCTCAACACGCCCCCTCACACGAGAGCTCACTGGGCTAGAAAGGTGGACAATGCACAAGCCCACCTAGCCCACCTACCTGTGCGAACAAAGAAATTCCACTTGAAAGAAAGTGGGGGGCGGCGAGGATCGAACCCGGTACACCGAGGCTCTGATACCATGTAAAGAACCAATTCAACCCAAAAGCTTAAGCTGTTGGGTGAGGCTACATTAATGGTTTTATATATCTCAACACCCCATAATTACTTTGTTTGTGAAGTTGACTTTAGGCTTAGAAGAGTTGTAAACTGTAGAAGTTTCATTTAATTGTTTTTACTGTTTATTCCACCAGCATTAGTTGTTGCTAGTCAAGTTGGTACTTATTGGAAAATGGTACTGAGTTAGTTCTTGTAAAAACCAAAATAATTATAGTGATTGGGCAATCACTGCAATCCTATGTGGAGTGATACAGGACTCATTAATTAATAAGTTTGTTGTTAGAACTATGAGTTTGCATTATGGCGAGCCTTCACATTTGATTTGTTCAACATAGATATGGGAATGCATTCTCTCCTATCACACTATAAATGGCCAGATTTTGAGAATTTTCTATTTGGGGTTATATATTTGAATTAGAAGTAACTCCAGACAACCTTTTCCTTTGCCAATTATAGTTTCACTTGCTTTTTTCTTATCTCATTTTGTGGCCCTTATTGTACACGTTGAATGTTTACGTGTTTTTTCTACATCTTATTCCTATGACATTCTATACGAGACTTTTATTGAGTTCCTTGTGTAAATGCGTCAGTTGTGATTTACCCTTTGTTCTGCAAAACTGTCTATTTATGGTAGTCTAAGACTGTCCGGAACGCTATCTGTAGTTGGTCAGTTGCAAAAATTAGACTTTAGGACTGAAAATTTAGGTGCATTTGTTTTTTCCATGATATTTTACCTTATTGTTCTATTTTTTTAATAATCTTCTGTTTGAAATTGTATATTCAAAAAAGAAAAGTTGTATATATATATATATATTATACTACGATTATAATAATTAATTATATATAATTAATTATTATAATAAATAAAACAATTTATAATAATTAAAATAATTAAGATATTGAATGAATATATATATTTTTTATTTCTTATTTTAGATATTTTTGAATATTCAAAAATATCTAAAATAAAAATAGAATACGAATATTCTTATTTATAATATTTGTGAACTTGGAATTTGATTTTCTTGTGCTCTGATTTTTTTTAAAAGTCTGTGTGAAGTTCCTTGAATACATTGGAAATATTAGACTGTTCTGAATATTGTCCTCAACATGCATATTTACTTTATTATTATTTTTTGCAGTGAATGCTCGCAAAGTTTTTTCCCCTGATATCCCAATAAATTTCTTAATGGAAGTAAAAGGTTCTGGCATACCTAAAGGACGACATCCTTGATGCTTTGAGAAAGGTTATGTGAAGCAATATGACACTTGAAGATTTCTTTACCTTGACTGAGATGAAAGATGGGCTCACAGCCCCTTCTCGAGTGCAGGAGTTGGTCTCTGTAATGCAAAAGAAGGAAGACTATGCTGTTAAGAATGGTGGTGATGCAACGAGGCAGTGGGCTGCTGTTGCAAGCACTATTGCTGCTACAGAGGACAAAGATTGTCTTGATCTTTTTATTCAATTAGATGGACTTTGGTTCATCAATAGATGGTTAAATGATGCTCAGTCGTTTGGTTCCAATACAAATGATAGCTTCGTTGAAGAGTCAATTACTGCAATGTTACGAGCAGTTGAAAAGCTGCATCTAGACAGTGAGAAGTCAACTTCATCAGGAATTCGGGTAGCTGTAAGTAACCTTCTTGGCCATCGTAGCTCTAAGGTTCAAGATAGAGCAAGAGTATTACTTGACAGCTGGAAAGGAGGTGGAAATGGAAATGCTGAATCTCATGAATCAGATCTTGGTAGAGTCAACAATGTGAGTGATAAGATTGTCAGGGAGGAAGACCAGCCCTCTTCCAGGAACGAAGCTAGCAATGACGATGATCATGCATCACTACTTGTTGGAGGTGAGAAGTCTCAATTGAGAAGATCAGATAGTCAGCTACCACAAAAGGTTGCTAGTGTACAGATACAGAGTTCTGACAATGCACTTCAGTCCTCTGCAAGCTTGGACTGTGACGATATCAAAGATAGATCAAACCATCTTGCTGGTGTTTTGACTTCTGTTCAAGAAGTTGCTCCCATAAGCGAAGGTGAGACCACATCGGCCGGGACCTGTAACCTACCTATTCCAAAGCAATGCAGTTTCAAAGGTCAACAAGATGATTTACAGTTAAATGACTTATGCAAAACAGAGAAGCAAGACCAAAATGTTAATGGCCCTCCAGAAAAATTAGGAGTACCAGATATCTCTTCGGCATCCACAAAGCCAGAGCCTGAACCTGTTTCCATTGGTGCTAGTGAAGCAAAAGCACTGGAATTTGTGAAAGAACCTGCTTTAGGACATAGTGTTGAAAGCAATGAGGATGGTGTTTGTCAAAAAATAATTGTTTCCGGTAGCATGAAAACACCTGCATCTGATAGAATGAGCGGGGTGGATGATGCCAGAGCTATAAATTCTAGCAATCCACAACATACGAAAACTTCAGAAAACAATGATGACTGTTATTCTAATGCATTGCAGGACTCATCCGTCAGTGGAAGTAACTTGGTAAAGCCTGAGGTGTTACAGATGTCTTTCCTCAAAACAGAATATGTCAGAGCTGTAAAGGAAGGCAAGGGAGAAGTTTCTAATCAAGGCGACAATACCTCAAATGGTTCTGATTCTTTTAAATGGGGAAAAGGTCCTAGAAGCCCTAACATTACTGACAAAAGTTCTGGCATTAAACATGAGTATGGGATTGTTGATACTTCAGAAGTGGCTCGACAATGTGCTCAGGAAATTGAAAGAGAATATGGCAGAACAGTAAAGGAAGTTTCTAGTCAAGGCTATGATACATCAAATGGTTCTGTTTCTTTTAAACGGGAAAAAAATTCCAGAAGCCGTAACATTATTGACAAGAGTTCTGACATTGAACTTGAGTACGGTATTGTTGATGCCTTAGAAGTTGCTCGACAAGTAGCTCAGGAAGTTGAGAGAGAAGTCCGCAGCTCTTCCTCAGAGAAAATCTCAGAAGGCAGAATCAGGCGAGCAGGCAGCCCAGATTCTATAGGGAAAAAGGATGAACTCACTTGCATCCTACCTGAGGAGGTATCATCCAGGCAAAGCAACTCTGCTGAGGCATGTTCTGAAGAGGAGGGGCAGATGAGTGTTTCAGATGATATTGAGGCTGACCCAGAATGTATACCTGACTTGGAGTCCTCCCAGGTGACTGAAGCAGCTCGAGATGCAGGAGGTAATTCAGAGAAAAGCCTCTGTACCTTCGATCTCAATGAAGAAGTTGGCTCTGATGATATGGATGTTTCTGTAAATGCTATGTCTACTACACCAATACCTGTTGTCTCTGCTTCAAAGCCTGCACAGAGTTCTGGGTTGCCAACGGCCCCTTTGCAGTTTGAGGGGACACTTGGATGGAAAGGATCAGCTGCTACCAGTGCCTTTCGTCCTGCATCACCTCGTAAAAATTCCGATAGTGAGAAGAATGTATCTGTGGGTGGGAACTCTGATATTTCCAAGCAGAGGCAGGATTTCCTTGATATTGATCTGAATGTGGCTGAGGGTGAGGAAGGATTGGTAAAACAAATTGGTGAATTTTCAGGCCTTCCATCTGGGCAATCATCAGTGGAACTTAGTTCGAAGAGATCAAGCAGACTCGAATTGGATTTAAACAGTATTGGTGATGATGGTGATAACCAACCTTCAGACCAGAGAATGGAGGGGCAACTCTTTTCTGGTAGAAATGGCTATTGGAGTCCATCACCAGCATCATCGTCGTCATCAATGCAGCCTTCAGTTCGAAACATTGATTTGAATGACAGACCATACTTTCAAACAGAGTTAGTCGATGAAGAACCGATTAAGTCTTCTCCCATTATTGAAGCATATGGACGTTCTAAATCAGATGCTCCTGTGATCTCTATTTTGGGTGCCAAGGTGGAAGTTGGTAGGAGAGAATATGTTCCTCAAACTTTTTCTTTGCCGAATGGCAAGGCTATTGAGCCTGCAATTGATCTTACAATGTCGGGAGCAGGTGGCATTTTAGGGATGAGCCCCACAGTATCCTACGATCAGTCAGCTGTTTTTGGGTATAATGGACTGACATCAGCGCCCCCTTTGTCTTTTTCATCAGCCATGTATGGATCAGGTGGCACAATTCCATACATGGTGGACTCAAGAGGTGCTCCAGTTGTGCCTCAAGTGGGAGGATCTTCCTCAACCGTCCTGTCACCATACGCTCAGCCTCCATTCATCATGAGCATGACCGGTACACAACTTGGTTTAAATGGGGTTGGTCCTTCACGTCCCAACTTTGATCTAAACTCTGGCTTCATGATTGATGGTGGGAATAGAGACCAATTGGCTGCAAGGCAATTTTTCTTTCCTGCACAGGGAAGAGCTATGGAGGAGCATGTAAGGACCATTCCACAATCCTCAAGTTCAGGGGTTAGTGGGAAAAGAAAGGAGCCAGACAGTGGCTGGGAAACCTATCCATTTAGCTACAAACATCAGCAACCTCCATGGAAGTAGCTCTAATTTATGCTTTTGCTGCTGTTTTGATCTGTTCATAGATACAGCCTACCCATTGATGCTTAAATTATTTACCTAAAATGATTCTGAAGAGTAGGCCCATCCATTGGAATCCTTTAGTAAGAGAAGAACCAGAACTCAATAAAAGCTGGAGGACGATGGATGTATTATGATTCAATAGATTGATGGGCAAAGGGGGGGAATTAGGTTCATTTTCTTTTTATTTGTTTTTCCTTTCCTGCAGTTTCATAGAAAGTACAAGCACAGAAGGCTTTGTACATGTAGCTGTAATTTCTCTTTCATATGTCAAAGAAATTATAGGCATAGTATCGTGTTTCTAACTGTCAGTGTTACTTGAGTACATGGCCACAAATATTAAAATAATAACCTGTAAAGAGATAGCTTTGTTCTCAAAACTTTTCCGCTTACATACAATATAACCCAGATAAATTATCCCATGTAATAAACAAAAAAGTAGGTGGTATATTGATAAACCTTTAGTTTATCTTGTTTAATGGACTAAAATAATAGGAATTATCTAGTTGAACAAGTCAAAAATTAGGGTTTTAAAATGATAATCATGAACATTATCTGATTGTTGGAACTAATTAATATATTTGTTATTTTTAAAGGGATTTGATAACAAATGATTCAAATATGAAGATTTAGATAAAGAGAGATCAAATCAGAAAAGAAGATGAATCAAGGTGAAAACAATAAGATTGAAGATCTTATCAAGTTGTTAGAAGTGGGAGCTTAAGCCCCCATTCACAAGCTTATGCGCCCAGACAAGTCCAACTTAGGCCCATTCAAGTTTTCTACTAGGATACGAACTCTTGGCCAATAAAAAGGCCATTGGGGACCAGAAATACATAACTTTTACATTGCTAAACAACTCTTGGGTGCTTGGAGGCTGAAGGAACGCGGAGAAACATCAGATTCATGTTCGTGAGCGGCGGAGACGGATCAACGTCAAGTGTTCACTGGAGATATTGAAGATCCACCAATCACTTATGGAGTTTGGGGGAGCTTTTCTATTTTCTTTTGTTCTTGATTTTGCTATGTCCGGCTAGTTCTTTAAGTAGTTAGGGTTAAATGGATTTTAGTCAATTTTTTATGTTTTGAACAATTCGCTGTGTTAATTTTCCTTTATATCATGAATGAAGTTATCTGTTTTTAATGCTTTATATAGGCTTAAATCTTATATAATGATCATCGGTGAATGCATGACAATAGGAATGTTGGTGTGTGATTCATATCTGATAACTTCATCGTAAACGTTATGATTCTAGGGATAGACATAGGGTTTGCGTAATCTTTAAGATTCTTGAATTTAATGCTTGCATGCTTGGGGAATAACCGGGGAACTAGGGTTCTTCCAATATTGTAAAGGTTTTAGAGTAACAAGGGATTGAGCTCTAATAACATGCGAAAGAATTGATTAGATTGATACTAAGGACAATTAACATTAAGAAGGAATTCAAACGTAATAAGGAGATTAAATGAAATCGAACCCCTAGCTACGTTTTTATTTTATTAGTTAAATCACATCTTTAATTTCTTGTCTTTAATTCTTGCAAGTAATTAGCTTAATATTTAATATTTTAATTTTGCAATTCAAATCCTGTTTCCAAATACACTTTCGATTGTCCAACTAAGTTTGCGATAGTGAATTAGTGCTTGAACCGTAATCCTCGTGGGAACGATCTCTTACTTAATCATATATTACTTGTACGATCGGTGCACTTGCCGTGAGTAGCAACATATATATATTTTCTTTCTTACTCTCTCTTCTCCTTAATAGGTTTTATCTATTTTTGTGTGTTATATGAGATAATTTATCTCCTATGCAAAGAGAAATATATTCCCCTATAACTTAACACGATACCATACAAGTTGTCTTGGTCAACTAATGCTGTTAATTATGTCTTTGGTTTAATTTCCAGTAACATTGTTACCCCTCATTCCCTAGTTTGTGCATTACTGACCTTAACTAAATGACTTAGTTGACATCCGCAGCCCCATCACGTAATTGTCTTTGGATTGACGGTAGCGTTTTGCCCATTACGGGCATATTACCCATCACGTAACTTGCAAATGATGAATGATGATAAATATTTGTTAACAAAAGCTTAATAAATGTGAGTGAGTAGAGACATATTTAAGAAGTTTTGAAAGTACAGGAATTTTGTTCAAAACTTTTAAACTATAAAAATTTAATAAAACTATAAAAATTATAAAATAGCTTCACCTTAAATTAAAAAATAAATGTAATTTTAAATAAAACCGTACTTGCATGCTTTTTTGTGAGCGGAAAACCTGCATAACACTCCAAAACGCGTTACAGAGATCAAAAAAGGGTTTGAAGGTTGCGTTGCATTTTTTTTTAGTTCTAACTATTTGATTCGTTGGATTACAATTACTATTTTATTGAGTTTATTATAAATATTTGGGATATCTTATGTTTCTTTGCAAAATTGATAGATATTATAAGTTTAGCTTCATTTTTTTTGTTAAATTATTAAATATTAAATATAGTATACACTACATAAATTAAAAATATTATTTAATATCAAAGCGTGCCCTAACGTATCAAAATCTATCAATTTTTAGAATTAACGTGTCGGATTGTCGTGTCATGTCATGTCTCGTATCCATGCAACATAGGTTTTAGGGAAAAGTTAAAAAAAAAACTGTGGTATTGTTTTGAATCACTTACATCCCTATGATTTTTTTTATCACTTGACCCTCTGTGATTTATTCCATTTACACCTCTCCTTAACACTGTTAAAAAATTAACCAAGTATACCTATTCTACACTCCTTGAAAGAAAAAATAAAGTGATAAAAAAATAAGACCAAATATTATGAAAATTTAGAACACTTAATAAAATATTAAAATAAAAAATAGTAAAAAAAAATCAAATGTGTAAAAAAACAAGAAGAAAAGAAAATAAATGTATAAAAATAAATAAATAGAATAAGAACAAAATAAAAGAAAAAACCAAATGATGGTAGCTCAGTTGGCGCATAGGAGCTAAGCAGGTGCGGGTGAGAGCATTTATTTGATCATCCACAATACCAATTTTGGGAAGGGTTTAAAGCTTTAAGAGTAAACACATTTTTTGATCCCTAACAAAAAATACGGTCCCCACTTTAGTCCCTTACAAAAATAAATTAGTCAGTTAGTCCCTAACAAATTCAAAGTGGACCCATTTTAGTCCTTTTGAGGGACTAATATGGGTCTTTTATGAATTTGTGAGGGACCACGATTTCAACTAAATGAGTCCACTTTGAATTTGTTAGGGACTAACTGACTAATTTATTTTTGTAAGGGACTAAAGTGGGGACCGTGTTTTTTGTTAGGGTCCAAAAAATGTATTTACTCAAGCTTTAATCCTGGACTCGCTCGGAATAAAATTGTGTCCCATAAAGGATACTTGTGGTTTATCCAAATAAAAAAGAAAAAAACAAGACTAAATATATTAAAAATAACAATAGTGACAGCAAATACTAAATTTTTTTAAAAAAAATTTAAAGTAGTCCAAATGGAAATCGAAGACAAAAAAACTAGAAGAAAAAATTAAGATAAAAAAATAAATAAAAAAGAAATCACAATTATGAGTTTCTAATATATTTAGTGTATTTTTTCTTTTCTTTATCTATTTTATTCTTTTTGATTTAGATATGTTTGATCTTTTTTCTATTTTTTTTTTCATTTTTTGGTCTATTTTATTTTGATTTTCTTCTCGATTTTTTTTAGTCTTGTGTCCTCCCATCTATTAAAGATTTTTGTAAAAAACAAATGAAAAAAAATAGAAAATAAAATAGAGATATAAAAAATTCCAAAGATAGACCAAGGACAAAAAAAAATAGAAAGTTCTTTTTCTTCTAATTTTTATACATACTTTTATTTAGACATATTTGAATTTTTTACTATTTTTTTCTTTTAGTTTTTTATTAAGTGATCTAATTTTTCATAACTTTTGGTCTTTTTTTTTTGGGAGTTACTCAACCCTAATTATCTCTTTGAGACGAGTTGGCTCCCTCCAGTATCCCCACGAGCTTCGACTCTGAGCCGGCTATGGGACTAATCCGGAGTGCGGGGGAACAGTGATGGCTAAAGGTTCAGCCCCCTCCCCAAGAATGCATTCAGCGAGAATCGAACACATCCAACCCCACTAACGGTCTTATTTTTATTTTCTTTTTTATAACTTTATTTTCTTCTTCTTAGAAGGGTAGAATATATATATTTAGTTAATTTTCTAATAGTGTTAAGGAGGTGTACGGATGAAAAATTAAACCATAGGAGATTACGTGATTAAAAAAAAACATAAAGATATAAGTGATTCAAAGCAATTCCATAGAGATTTTTTAAACTTTTACCTAGGTTTTAATTAATATTGTGCCTTTAGCACCATTTTATAATCATGGATCCTCTAATGTCTTGTATTAATATAATCATATAGTGTGAGAAATCTCAGTTATTTATTAATAAATGAATGGTTACAATTTTAATAAGAAAACTCTAAAAATGAGAAAAAAATAGTTATTTCAATTCCTCATAATTGATTTATCAATAAATAATTAGGGCTGGATAAGTGTTTTCTCCTATCCCATATTCAAAAAAAAATTCATAACGTTTTTTTTATTAAAAGGTGGGCCCCACGATTGAAATATATCGCGGTAGCTGGAGAATAGTTTCTTGCCGGAGAAAATATTCTACCAAATAGTTATGTTGAAATAGTCAAATTTAAATAAAAGGTTAATTGTGTGCCCTTTTAATTTTTTACGTAATATATTACGGGTAATACATAGTTATAATATGAAAAATTACTTTTTTTTCTCTCTCCACATCAGCTGAAGTAAATGAGAATAGAGAAAAAAATAATTTTTTATATTATAATTATGTATTACCCGTAATTTATAATGTTAAAAATTAAAAGGATACAACTTGTGTTCTTTAAAGAACAAACATTTTTCCTTTAAATAAAAGGTTTTATACATATCATGTTGCATGACATTCTTAGTGTCATGTTACTCTCACATGACAAATGGGACCCACCTTTTTTTCTTTTTTTTTTCTTTTTTTTGAGTAAGACCCACATCAAATGTATTAGAATAACATAACACTAAAAGTGTCCTACAAAATAACATATATAAAACCCTTAAATAAAACATGAGAATTTTTCCTTTAAATAAACACGAGAAGATTTATTTCCTATGTTAACAAACCATCGATTCAACACCTCAACTTCTAAAATTTTTTCTCGGAAGATAGTGGAGGATCGATGGGACATACTTTTTGTGATACATTTACATGATTCGTTGATTGAATTTAATACCATTCGCAAAAGAAGGAAACTACAATCATGTCATGTAACCTTTGATTCTAACCTTACAAACATTGCAGGTTTCTTGCTCCAT